TTTTTTCAAATTCAGATACAATTTGTCAGAATCAAACACCCAAAGTGGTAAAACAAATCCGATGGCATCCTCCAACAATTTCTTCTAGCCCCAGCTTCTGCGTTTAGACAAAGACAACTATGAGAATTGGTGTATTCAAATGAGAGTCGTCCTTGGCTCACAAGACTTGTGGGATTTGATTGAAAATGGATATGATGAACCAGCTTCAAAAAAGGAACTAGATGACTTAAGTGAAGCCCAGAAGGCAGCACTCAAAGAAGCCAAAAAGAAAGACAAGAAGGCGTTATATCTGCTTTATCGAAGTGTCGATGAAGCAAGTTTTAAAAAGATCTCCGCCGTCAACACCTCCAAGCAAGCATGGAAATCCTTTGCAAAGCACATTGAGTGATTGAAAAAACAATCAAAGTTCGACTCCAAGTTCTAAGGGGTGAATTTGAATTGTTGCACATGAAAGACGAGTCAATTTCTGAATACTTCACCAGAACATTGACTATCGTTAATCAGATTAGAAGATATGGAGATAAGATCAAAGATGTTCGTGTGCTTGAAAAGATTATGCGATCTCTCAACTCAAAATTTGAGCACGTTGTTGTTGCTATTAAAGAATCGAAGGATCTTAATGCAATGACAGTAGACGAGCTAATGGCCACACTAGAAATCCATGAACAGAGAATCAATAAAAAGGTCACCTTAAGTTCCCTGGATCAAGCTCTTCAATCAAAGCTTATAATCAATGAAAATAGAGAAGAGCAATGGGGAACCTCACAAAGAGGACAAGGAAGAAGCTGAGGCCGAGGCCGTGGCTATCAAGGACGAGGTGCTGGATTTAGAGGCGGTGGTAGAAGAAATAATAATCAAGGCAGAAGAAGTCAGCCATCAAGAGGAAGATCTAGAGGCAGAGGAAGCACCTTCAATAATCGCTAAAGTTATGACCAAAGTAATGTGCAATGTTATAACTGCAACAAATATGGCCACTACAGCAATGAATGCAAAGGAAAGCCTGCAATCGAAGTTGGAGAGCAAGTGAATTTTGCAGAGAAAGATATAAATGGGCCAAGATCACTAATGGCTCAAGATGCGCACCCTGAAGACGAAAATATATGGTTTCTAGATTTAGGAGCCAGTAATCACATGTGTGGAAATAGACACATGTTTGTCGAGCTTGACAAGACTAGGCAAGGACAAGTCTCATTTGGTGATTTCACAAAAATCCCAGTAAAAGGAAAAGGTAATATTCTGATCAAGCTCAAGAATGGAGATCATGACTTCATATCCAATGTCTACTATGTTCCAGATATGAACAACAATATTTTGAGTCTAGGACAACTCCTAGAGAAAGGATACGACATCAGCATGCAAAATTTGTTTCTAATCATCAGAGATACAAATGGAAATCTTATTGCTTGAATAAAGATGTCCAAGAACAGAATGTTTGCTATTAAGATTCAGCACGATTCAGCAAAATGTTTAAGTGCTGTTGTTAGAGACAAAGATTGGTTGCATTTGAGATTCGGACATCTCAATTTTGAAGGCCTGAAGTTGCTAGCAAGCAAAAATATGGTAAAAGGTTTGCCTTATGTCAATTATCCAGATGAAGTTTGTGAAAGCTGAGTATTTGGAAAACATCACAGATTGAGCTTTGCTAAAGAAATCAAGTGGCAAGCAACAAAGCCACTGGAGCTCGTTCACACAGATGTGTGTGGTCCATTAAAGCCAAAGTCAAATGGACAAAAAAAGTATTTTCTTACATTCATTGATGATTGTAGTAGAAAGACTTGGGTCTACTTCTTGAAGAAGAAATCAGAAGTATTCAATATCTTCCAAGAGTTTAAAGCTCTTGTCGAAAAGCAAAGCAACTACTATATCAAGACAAAAGTAACTTGGTAAAATTGGCGTACTCAATTTGAGAGCCTGACTATCATTATATACAAGTGAAAAATTACAAATATGGAAAAGAGAATAAAATCAAATCAAAATAAAGAGAATAAAATAAAATAAAATCAAATCAGAATAAAAATAAAATCCCTAAAAATTAGCCTATATTGAAGACCCAATAAATCTGCCATAATCGTTGAGTCAACTTATAGATAAGATTTCCAACACTCCCCCTCTTGGGTCTACTTCTTGAAGAAGAAATCAGAAGTATTCAATATCTTCCAAGAGTTTAAAGCTCTTGTCGAAAAGCAAAGCAACTACTATATCAAGACAAAAGTAACTTGGTAAAATTGGCGTACTCAATTTGAGAGCCTGACTATCATTATATACAAGTGGAAAATTACAAATATGGAAAAGAGAATAAAATCAAATCAAAATAAAGAGAATAAAATCAAATCAAATCAAATCAGAATAAAAATAAAATCTCTAAAAATTAGCCTATATTGAAGACCTAATAAATCTGCCATAATCGTTGAGTCAACTTATAGATAAGATTTCCAACACTCCCCCTCAAGCTGGAGCAAATATGTTGACTAAGCCCAGCTTGACGATGGAAGACTGGAGAAGAGAAAGCCCAACAGACTTTGTGAACACATCTGCAGTCTGTTCTGAAGAAGGAACAAAAATAGGATTAATGATACCCGATCGAACCTTCTCTCGAATAAAGTGAATGTCTACCTCAATATGTTTCGACCTTTCATGTAAAACAGAATCAGAAGCAAGCATAATGGCTGATTTATTGTCACAAAACAGCCTTGAAGAACCTTTCTGTACAAGACCCAACTCTCCCAAAATTGATTGAAGCCAAAGGAGCTCACAAGTACCTTGAGCCATAGCTCGGTATTCAGCTTCAGCAGAGGATCTAGAAACAACAGCCTGCTTCTTACTCTTCCATGATATGAGATGATTACTATAGAAAGTACAGAAGCCAGAGGTAAAACGTCTATCTGTCTTACATCCAGCATAGTCTGCATCAGTAAAGCATGAGAGTCCAGACTGATTTCCTGAGGCATAGAACAGACCAAGACTAGGGCACGACTTAAGGTACCTCAAAATATCGTAGACTACATCCATATGAGCTGAGCGATGGGTATGCATGAATTGACTAATCACACTGACAGCAAATGTCAAATCGGGCCTTGTGTTGGTCAAGTAGATAAGACGACCTACTAAACGTTGATACACGGATGGATCTGGAAGTAATTCCCCTGACTCAACAGAGAGTTTAAGATTGGGGTCCATAGGAGTGGAAGTGGGTCGACACCCAAGCATGCCAGTATCTTGAAGAAGATCCAAAACATATTTTCTTTGAGATAAAGAAATTCCACGATGGGATCTAGCAACCTTAATTCCAAGAAAATATCGAAGAGGACCTAAGTCCTTCACATCAAAGGACTTTTGAAGATGAAGTTTCGCCTGTGATAATGATATCATCCACATATACCAATAACATAATGCAATGACCATCAGAGCGACGTCGAATAAAACAAGTATGGTCTGAGTGGCAGCACACAAAGCCCATGGATAAAACAACATTGCTGAAACGACTAAACCAAGCTCTAGGAGATTGCTTCAGACCATAAAGAGACTTCCGTAGCCTACAGACTTTCCCAGCATACTCCCCCTCAGCCCGAAATCCAGGGGGTGGATCTATATATATAGTCTCAAGTAAGTCTCCATTAAGAAATGCATTCTTGACATCTAACTGATGCAGAGGCCAGCAGAGGCCAAGAATGGGCAGCAGACAAGGAGATAAGCAGTCGCACAGACGTCAACTTAGCCACAGGAGCAAAGGTAGCACTAAAGTCTTTGCCCGGAATCTGAGTAAAGCCTTTTGCCACCAACCGAGCCTTATACCGATCAATAGAACCATCGGCTAAGTACTTCACATTAAAGACCCACTTGCAGCCAACCGTTTTCTCCTCAGAAGGTAAAGCAACAAGTTCCCATGTATTATTATGGTGTAAAGCATCCATTTCTGTTGTCATGGCAGACACCCAATTGGGATCCTGTAGGGCTTCTGACACAGATCGAGGAATAGAAACGGTCCTAATCTTGCCCAGGAAGGATTTATATGCACCTGAAAGACCATCATAGGAGACATACTGGGAAATAGGGTGGTTAGTGCTACTAGAAAAACCATACCAATTAGGAGGATGACGATCACGGGTAGGATAACGAGAGGTACGCTCAGGAATTGTAGGAGCAATAGGAGAAGGAGAGTTACCTGGACCTGGTTCTGAAGATAATTCTGGTAGGGGAGGTTGAGTGCGATGGCGACGAGAGTAGACCTGCAAAGGTGGAGGGGAACCCTGCATGGATGGAGAAGGAGATTCCAGGACAGTGTGATTTTCAAAGAGAGGAACAGGACGGGCAATAGGAGAAATCTCCTTCTCCAGATCACAAGAGAGAGAATCCTGTACCACAGAATTAGTACTATAAAAAGGAACAGTTTCATGAAATGTCACATCAAGAGAATGATACATATGTTTGGTCACAGGATCATAACAACGATAGCCCTTTGACATAGCAGAATACCTCAAGAAAATACACCTAATAATTTATCATCAAGTTTATGACGAGAAGGACTACGGTTATGAATAAAACAAGTACAGCCAAAAACACGAGGCAAAAGGTGAAACAATGTATAATCAGGCTGGAGAATCTGAAGTGGTGCCTTACCACCCAAAACTCGACTGGGAGTACGATTAATTAGAAAAGCAGCTGTAAGAACAGCCATATGCCAATAGAATTTAGGCACATTCATACCACTCAGAAGACATCGAATCACAGACATAAGATGACGGTTTTTGCGTTCAGCCACGCCATTTTGCTCAGGAGTATAGGGGCAAGTGAGTTGATGTAAAATCCCCTTTTTATTAAGTTCAGACCGGAACTCATTCGAAACATATTTCCGTCCATTATCAGAACGAATATTACGGACAACAGTGTTATACTGGGTTTTGATCATTTGAAGAAACTGGGTAAATAAAAGAAACACATCAGATTTCTTTTTCAATAAACAAACCCAAGTACAACGAGAATAATCATCAATAAATGTCACATAATATCAATGTCCAGAGAAAGCAGTAACTGGGGAAGGGCCCCAGACATCAGAATGAATAAGATCAAACATACTAGGAGCACAACTCATATGAGAAATATAGCTAGTTCTAGTATGTTTAGAAAGCTCACAAACTTCACATTGAAACTTATGGTCCTTACATGCTTTATTTAACGAAGGAAACAATAGACATAGATATTGAAAGTTTACATGTCCCAAACGTGCATGCCACAGACTAAAAGTGCGAAAAGAAACATCATAAACACTAGAAGTAGGTAGGACAGAAGCTTGAAGACTCATTCCTGGTGGTTCCCCAAAGTAGTAAAGCCCATCACGCTCATAACCCCTGCCAAAAATCCTCTTCGAACAAAGGTCCTGCAACAAACAGTGATCTGGTAAGAATATAACTGCACATTGGAGGTTTTTTGCAAGCTGGCTAACAGATAAAAGGTTAAAGGCAAATTTAGGTACATGAAGGATAGATGAAAGAGAAATATCAGGAGACAGACAAACATCACCCTTATTGTGAATGTAAGATGTAGAGCCATCTGCAAGATACACAGATTGGGTAACAGGTATGACATTAGAAGAAAAAACTGATAACTCACCAGTCATGTGATCATTGGCCCCAGAATCCAGAACCCAAGTGGGCTGCTTGGCCTTAACATGAAATGCAGTAGGAGTACCTGTAGCAATAGTTGCAGTGGGAGCAGTTGAAGGAGCACTAACTCTAGAAGCAAGGGAGCCAAGCTGGTCTTGGATATGCCCAATCTGAGATTGAAGTTGGCTCAGTCCAGGAAATACAGTAGATCCACCAGTAGTAACAGGAGTTTCTGCAACAGCCGCAGTACGAGAAGAACCAGTTCCAGATAAACGGTTCCTAGAAAATTTTTGCTTTAGTTCAGGATGAAGTTTGAAGCAACGAGCCTTAACATGTCCAACCCCTCCACAATGGTGACAAATAATCTGACCTCCAGAAGCTCGTGATCCAAAGTTGGCTGCAAAAGCCATACTATCCCCAGCAGGCTCAGACACTGGTACAGGAACAATTGAGGGCTGAATTAAATGGTGCCTGCGTGCTTCACCATCAACAGTAGCAAAGGCTTCCAACAGGGATGGCATTGGTGATGCATTCAAGATCTGAGACTTTAGTGGTTCAAATTCTGGGCGTAATCCCATCAAAAACTGATAGGTATGCTGATGATCAAGACGTTTGACAAGAAGAGAGGCTGCCTCAGAAGGAAATTCACTGAGAGGCTCATATTAAGCTAGTTCCTCCCAACGAGATCTCAAATACCCAAAATAATCAGTTACAGACAAATTCAGGCCTTCCTGCGAGGCCTTATCAATATCTTGATATAATTAAAAAATACGAGCATCATTCCTAGAATGAGCATACATTTGATTCAAAGCAGTCCACAAGTCATTAACAGAGTCATAAAACATGAATATATTATAAATGCGTTCCTCCATAGAATTAAACATTCATCCTAAAATGGTGCAATTGTCCATATCCCACTGAGCATATTTAGGATCTTTAATATCTGGCCTATTTTCAGTACCCAAAATCCACCCTGATTTGCCTTTTCCACCAACATAGAGGCTGAAGGAACGAGCCCAGGATGCAAAATTATGGCCATTCAACAGCACACTAGTAACTCATTGAGCCGGTATGTGTTGCACCGAAAAGAGAGTTTCTTTATTATTACTTGATTCAGCCATAATATTAAATAGATCAATTCAACAGATTACCAATAATTTCAAATAAAGGAGGAATAAACCTGATTTTGATCAAACCAAGAAGCCGGAGACACTGCGGTCTGATCCGAAAATGCTGCCGAATATCCCGGCAGCCCCAAAAAATTACAAACACGTCTTCTGACCCTTAGTGCATGAAAAAGACTAAGGGAATACCCCTATAGGGGTCGAACCTAGAGGAGATTGACTCCCCCTAGGACTGTCACAACAGCGACCTGAAAAAGAGAGAAGGTCTGTGAAAAAAAAAATAGGGAAGGGGCTGTAACGAGATAGAGAGAGATATTAAAAGAGGCGGTGAAAGAGAGAGAGATGGGGGAGGCGTAGGTTTGAGGCTCTGATACCAAAAAGTAACTTGGTAAAATTGGCGTACTCAATTTGAGAGCCTGACTATCATTATATATAAGCGGAAAATTACAAATATGGAAAAGAGAATAAAATCAAATCAAAATAAAGAGAATAAAATCAAATCAGAATAAAAATAAAATCCCTAAAAATTAGCCTATATTGAAGACCTAATAAATCTGCCATAATCGTTGAGTCAACTTATAGATAAGATTTCCAACAAAGACATTGCGATCAGATCAAGGAGGAGAATATATGTCAAATGCATTTCAGAACTACTGCAAAGAGCACGGCATCCGACAACAAACAACACCATCCTATACGCCACAGCTAAATGGTGTTGCTGAAAGGAAAAATTGCACTATCTTAGTTATGGTCAGAAGCATGTTAAAAGGAAAGTTATTACCCAAAGAATTTTGGGCTGAAGCAGTATCTTGTGCTGTTTACTTGTTGAATAGGTGTCCAACCAGAAGACTTCGTTTCAAGACACCTGAAGAAGCTTGGAGTTCATACAAACCAAGCGTTAATCATTTCAGAATTTTTAGGTGTATTGCCTACACCAAAATCCCAGAAGCCAGAAGAACCAAGCTTGATGACAAAGGACAAAAATGTATCTTTGTCGGTTATGGTAACAGAACAATGGGATATAAGCTGTTTAATCCCATCACCAAAGAAGCTATTATGAGTAGAGACATAATTTTTGAAGAAGATGAAGCTTGGAATTCGGATCAGGACCAAGCAGTTAAATATATAGCGCTCATTCTTGAAGAAGATAAAGAAAATGCAGCAAGAGAAGTTGTAACGGTGCCACAGATTCTTCCATACCGATCTCCCGTACCTTTTAGAAATGATCCCTCATTATCATCAGAGGAGAGTTCAAGTGAAAGACCTAGAAAAATGAGAAGCCTTGGGGAAATATATGAAGCTACTGAAATGGAGGAAGATCAGAATTTGTTATGTTTATTTCTGGATAGTGATCCTGTTAGCTTCACAGAAGCTATCCAAGAGAATAAATGGAAGACGGCCATGGATGAAGAAATCAAAGCTATAGAGAAAAATGATACATGGGAGCTATCTAGTCTACCAAAAGGTCATAAACCTATTGGAGTGAAATGGGTCTACAAGACAAAGAAAAATGAAAAAGGTGAAGTTCAGAGATATAAAGCACACCTCGTAGCAAAGGGCTACAAACAAAGAAAAGGATTAGATTATGGTGAAGTGTTTGCTCCTGTTGCCCAACTAGAGACAATCAGACTAATGATATTTGTTGCTGCCCAGAATAGATGGAAGCTTTACCAACTCGACGTAAAGTCAGCATTTCTGAATGGATTTCTGGAAGAAGAAATCTATATTGAACAACCGTTGGGATACGTAAAAGTCGGGCATGAAGACAAGGTGTACAGGTTGAAGAAAGCCCTCTATGGGCTAAAGTAAGCTCCACGTGCATGGAATACAAGGATTGATAAGTATTTTCAGGATAATGGATTTGAGAAATGTCCATACGAGCATGCTGTATACATGAAGAAAGATGCAAAAGGAGGCGTACTATTTGCATGTCTGTACGTTGATGATTTAATCTTCACAGGTAATAACCCAGCTATGTTGGCATTCAAAAAGAACATGATTCGAGAATTCGAAATGACAGACATTGGTCTAATGGCACACTTTCTTGGAATAGAAGTGATACAAAGAGATAAAGGAATTTTTATCTCCCAAAGTAGATATGCAAAGGAGATCCTCAAGAAGTTCAAAATGGAATCATGCAATTTGGTATTAACCCCAGTAGAAAGCGGACTGGAACTCAGAAAGAATGAAGATGGAGGAAATGCTGATCCAACATACTTTAAAAATTTAGTTGGAACTTTACGATACCTGACTTGTACCAGACCTGATATACTCTACGGAGTTGGATTGATCAACAGATATATGGAAGAACCAGATCAATCACAACTAGATGCTGCAAAGAGGATACTCCGCTACATCAAAGGCACAATCAATGATGGTTTGTCATATACCTCAGCTGATGAGCGTAGTCTTACTGGCTATTCAGATAGTGATTGGGGTAGAGATTTAGAGGAAAGAAAAAACACAACTGGATTTGTCTTTTTCATGGGAAATACATCGTTCACATAGTCATCCAAGAAGCAACCCATAGTGACCCTATCTTCATGTGAAGCTGAGTACGTAGCAGCCAGCTCAACTGTGTGTCATGCTATTTGGTTGGGAAATGTGCTGAAACACTTGGGATTTCCACAAGAAAATCCTACGGAGATTTACATGGATAATCGTTCGGCAATCGCTCTAGCGAAGAATCCAGTATTTCATGAACGAAGTAAGCATATCGACACACGTTATCATTCCATCAGGGAGCATAGCACACCATTCCAAATACTTTAGTACTCTTAAAAAAAAGTATATAATAAAGGTTATGGATTGGATCGGATCATATTTTTGAAACATGATCCGATCTGATCTTTACGAATTACTTATTTATAAATGGCCATCAATCCGATGGATTAAAAAGCCAATCCAGTCCACAGATCGGATTGGACTCATAGATTTGCGGATTTAATGGATAGCCCTAGTTTCGGCTAAAGTAATTGTCTAGTGTATTACATTCCTTTCTTGATACTTGCTCTTGCACTTGATAAACAAGGTTTAATATTATTATTATTTTTTGATGCCTCGAGTTAGCATCAATTCAAAACTACTAAACTCTAAAATTGTATTCAATCACCAACACTGCATTGATTAAGTTTCAATTTCAGACATTTGACACTAACCATCACCTTTAGGTTAATTAATTTAGCAACCAAATTGATTTGTTATATGTAAATTGATTGCCCATTTGACACTAACCATCACATTATCAAAGTGCTTACAATAATACAGCAGTAGGGATGAGCTTAAAAGGTGTACCAACTTTAGTTTGTGGTTCTTCAATGCTCTCATAGATGCTAGGGAATAAACCAAATCACACATTTAGGTCATAGGCTCTAAGCACTTCTGAAATAGGGATGGACTAAGAACCTCTTACAAAAAATGGTTATAGTATGCCTATATATGTTGGGTATGTAAGTCATGTATCAACTTTAAAGAAGTGCTTATTTCTGACTTCTAATAAAACTCTTCTATTTTGAAGCTCATCTCAAACGAAACCAAGAGAGAATTTTGTGTCCGTTGCTTTCACAGTGACCAAAGAGAATTTAGTATTCTGAAGCTCATCTCAAAAAAAAAAAAAAATAGTGCAAAGAACTTGTGAAGATATGGACCATGTAAGTGTCATTCTCTCATCTAAATTAACTCTTTGATTTTTTAACGTGATTATTGCTCTTTTCTTTCACATATTTGGACCAAATGTAGCAATATTTTGCTGTCAATCTTAACTTTCCACTCTGTAATCTTAAACTTACCTTTGAAATTGCTGCTTCAATTACATATCTGTGTACTTAAATTCTTAAGTGAGTTTATAATGATGATCATGTTTGTGATCAATCTTTGGGTTATATATGGAGATCTTATAGGCTTAAGTCAAAGTTTTGTTTTTTCTCTCTTAGACCAAATATATATATATATATATTTTAATGACAAGTACTAAATGATGCAATGGGCTTTTGTGGGGGTTGATTGGTAGCACAGTGAGAAGCTTAAAGAGAGGAATGGTATGCCAAGTTGAATTGCACATTTTAGTGATACATATGTATGCTTAAGCCTGAAGTAGTACTATTTTTAAAAGCATCTTAATCTATTTCTAAGCTTCTATGTTATTCTATAAATCCCTTCAATTTAATTTGACAAATATTGAACTATATATCTATATATATATATTTATAGAAGTGGAGTCAATGTTAGTGCCTCAGAAAATAAGTGAACTGTATGAATGTGGATCGGCCACACATTTTTTTAATTTAGTTGTGTCGTATGAATTCAGGATGAAATTATAGAGGTACCGAAACTCAATGAACAAAATATTGAGGCACTGGAGATCATAGAAGACATAATTGAAGAGATAATTGAAACAATTGCACAGGCCCAAGAACTCAGCCAAGAAATCATAGAAATAGAGGAAATTGATGAAGTCAGAGAAGAAATTA